TTTAGGGTTGGAGGCTGTTATAACAAGGCCAGATGCAGAAACTAAATAGGGATACCAGCCAGTGTACAAGTCTAATGTGTTATATGTATTATTTTCTGCACATTTATTTTTTGAGAAATTTATTCTGATGGTTTGAATCAATGCTGTGTTAGCACACTCTGCTTCTTCATTTTGATAATTAATGGCAAGCTTCTCAAATGTTGGCTGAAAATTTTCCTAGGCAGATTTGGAGGTTTTTTTTTAGCCTGGCTTCGTGAGAAAATGAAGCTTGCGTGCATCACACTGTCTCTCTGTCATGTTTGTTCAGCTTCAAGTGAACTGAACAGCGTAGTCATTTTTTAAGTAGGAAAATCTTACAACAGACCTGTGCAAAATTCAGCACATCATGGAAGGCAGCTCCCAAAGTCATTAATTTTGCTGCCAGCAAAAATGAGGAACAGTTCATTAAGTTCATCTGGTAGCAGCTACTGACCATGCTGGACACATACAGGTTGGCCACCTTGCATGAATGCACCTCCGGAACAGTATCTGCAGTGTCATTCCCAGTTGTTAGGCCAAGTAATGCTAGCTAAAAACCATGGAATGAAGAGGAGCTAGGGTTAAGTGAGACACCTCATTATGAGGACACAGAGAGATTGGAAAGTACCATGGAAGAGGCCACTTCAGCGGGATGATCACAAATGTCTTGCACCCCATAGAGACAAAGCAAAAGCAAATCAGTTCTCTTTAGTTCTGCCATTCATAGAATGATCTGGATCTGTTGGGTTTTCCCTTCATCTCTCTCAATCCATCTATCCCCAGTTTTCTGTGTTACTTTTCCTTGCAGCTCCTACGTACAAACCCCTACCGAGGTGTGAAGACCTATAGATAAGTACTCAGCCACCTGGGAGACAATGGTACAGGATAAGCCCACAATTAAACATATACTATCATAAGCTATGTTTTATGTGGTGCAAAATGACATATGATAAATCATAGAATAGATGGTTTATCACAGGTAGGGTGATTGTGCAATAAGCCAATATGTTTATTTATGCAAGCGCCAGTTCCACTTGCACACAGCAAGCAGCATCTGAAAAGGTGTCCCTCAACTGGACACACAAAAAGGATACATAAGGGCTCATATCAGAGGGATGCTGCCTTTTCTTCACATGGTTAAGAAGAAAACGTGCTGATATTGATGAAACGGCAGGTCTATACTTTGCAGAATGATAACAGCTACCTGTTGACAGCTTCCTGAATGGAAAGGAGGATCTTTTTGAAGCACAGAAGTACTTTCACATGCATATAACAGAGCAATTTAAGAGCAGAAACACCTGCCAGCACAGCCACCAAGCAGAGCCCTGGCAGACCTGTTTGCCTCTTAGGAGATGATGATATGTATTTTGGCTTCCAGCATCTCCTGACATCCCCTTTTCACCCACTACCCACAATTCAACAGAACCAAAGCAATAACCAAATCTGTTGTATCCTCCCTCTCTGATAGGGCAATGTTAGTAAAGTTTCTTAGTTTTGCTTTGGAGGAGTAGGTTTTTTAAACAAAAGCAGTGCTGCAGAAGGAAAGCTAGACTCGGAATAGAAGCTGCTGCAAGCACAACACACCCTTTGTTAGCTGCTGCACACAGCCGGCAAAGCAGCACTCGGGAAGCCTGAGTGGCAGCTCTGCAACTCCTCAAGCATCCCGACTGGCAGCAGCCCTTTTTGAAAAAAGAACCAGTATTTGTAACCTACAGAAAGAGTAGTGATAATTCAGGATTTAAACCAGAACAGACAACCTGCTGTTTTGTGTGTGGCATAATGGTTCACCTGTTTACTATTGCTTACTACAGTGAGCTGGGTTATGCAAAAAAAAACCCAAAGAATCCCCCAAAAAAGCCAAAATAAACCAAAAATCTATCTTGAATAAATCAAGATAACAATTCCAAAAAGGACTCTGATGCCTCTCCTCCAGGCCTCAGTAATGATATTGAGTTGTTTATATTAGATATGACCAAATGATCATAATTTTGATCTCAGATATGCCTAGGTGTCATAATGAACAAGAAAGAAAAAAGAGCTCCAAGCCCTTGCTAGCCTGAAGCTGTCTGATCCCCCAGCCATACAGAAGATATCAGCAATATGAAAGAGAGGACTTTCCTGCAGAGAAGTGGCCCAGTCTCTCCAAGGTTTTACAACCAGCCATGTCTGCCCCTGAGGCTTCGGAGAAAAATGAAATTAAAAAAAAAAATCCAGAACTAACCTAGAGAATCATCATCTCTCCTCCTGCAGGCAGCCGGCCTATAGCCCTGAAGGATAAGACTAAGGTTTTTTAGTCCTATCTTAAAGCAGAGCTGAATATGAGAAAATGAGCACTCTCTATTTTCTTTAACAGTTTATAAAAAAGGGAGTGACAAAACACAAATACAAATTCACAGATGTAAAGATTGCACAGAACAAATGACCTCCACTGCCATCCACAGAGATGCTGCCAAGCCTGTTCCCAAATTCAGATTAAAGTGTATCCAATTGGATTAAATTCCTAGCAATGGCAAATTTACCACCTACCTACACTGGGAAATTATTTCTACATGTAATCACCCTCACTGCATCTTTATAGTGATTGAATTTTTCAGGCTTTGATTTCCAGCCATTGGTTCTTTTTTGGTTTGTTTCTGCAAGACTGAAATCTATACTTGATTTAGTTTTTCTTTTGTTCCTAATACATTGGTAATGTCTTCTTATTGTCTTAAGCTCTACTGGCCAGTAATAATTCCTTATTACCTTTATCTTCTCCAAAATGTCATTTACATTGTGTAGATTTAATTTTCATTCTCAGTTATGCACCTCTTTTCCATACTTAACATTGATTTCTTGTTTAATTATCACCTTTGTGTCTTCTTTACTAGGCTAGCTTTCCTCTCCAAGGTAACTTACTCATCTGCTCATTAAAGCATAGCCTTTAGAATACCCAGCAGGATTTCGTTGAGAAGTCACACTTTCTATTAAAGCTTCCCCTTTTAGCACTCGGTTAGGGAAACAAATTGTTCTGATGAACTAGTCGATTTTATGTCTCACATAATTCTGCCTGATGCAAAACCTTTGTTTCTACAACATATAGATACTGCAGTATCTGAGAGTCTTTGGCTATCAACAGCCAGTGTTCTGCTTGGTGCATCACAAAGTCCAACACAGATTTATTTCGTGCTTGATGCAGATATTTCCATATTACAATATCCTTGAGGTTTTCCTAATATTCAATTATTCCTAATGTTATTTAGAAGTAGTTCTCATTCTGGATTTACTGATGGTGATACATCTTTTCCTCAGACATTTTGAATAAATCCTAGGAAGTGGTCCTCTCCACTGCATCAGAATTTGTCCATGTACTAAATGCCCACCAGTCTACAGTCTGCTTTGCTGTTAGTGTAATGGACATAAAATGTGTGCCATTTTCATGGTAGACTAAAATTCCAAATTAATTACCCCTCGTTCTGGGGGATTGAAAATACCTTTAAAAAATAATATGGAAATATTACACCCCTTTAATATATTAATTAAAGTTATTGTTTTTCATCCTTTGAAATCTGCAAGTATATATATGTGGATAACTCAACTGAACAATTCATATTGTGCAAGTAAAATGCCAGTGGTTTTGTTTGATGGTTGTTTCTGTTGGGTTTTTTTTTTTGTTGTTGTTGTTGTTGTTGGTTTGTTTTTTGTAGGTTTTTTTTTTTTATTCTGGTACTTGGATTGCAAAATAAAATAAGAGTAGCAATGAATATTGATACTGGTTTTATTACCCAGTACATCAAACATTATATCCAAGCTGCTTTTGTTAAAAAACTGTTGCACTTGAAAATACTTTTAGATATTTCCTGGCTCCTCTAAAACAATACAAATAGATTCCTTGTCCCATCACAAGTTACTATATTGAACAGATGAAGTTATGTGAGATACAAAAAATAATAAAAAAGGACCAGTTCCACCATTTTTAATACTCAAAGCATTAAGATAAGTACCTTAAAAAAAATTAAATTTGAGTAGCTCTACTTACTCACCACCACCAAGATGAAGCCATTCAAGTCATGACTAATCACTTTACTCCAGGCAAGTTCGTTCACATCAAAGGAAAGAAACCAAACATAAAGACCTTGTATGTCATAAGAATCACACTGGAGCTGGGCAAGTATATTTTCTGTTCAAATTTTGGAGAATTTCTCTGGACTTTTGCATTTGTGTACGAGGGAAGGAAAAAAGGGAAGGGAAGGGAAGGGAAGGGAAGGGAAGGGAAGGGAAGGGAAGGGAAGGGAAGGGAAGGGAAGGGAAGGGAAGGGAAGGGAAGGGAAGGGAAGGAAGGGAAGGGAAGGGAAGGAAGGGAAGGGAAGGAAGGGAAGGGAAGGAAGGGAAGGGAAGGGAAGGGAAGGGAAGGGAAGGGAAGGGAAGGGAAGGGAAGGGAAGGGAAGGGAAGGGAAGGGAAGGGAAGGGAAGGGAAGGGAAGGGAAGGGAAGGGAAGGGAAGGGAAGGGAAGGGAAGGGAAGGGAAGGGAAGGGAAGGAAGGGAAGGGAAGGGAAGGGAAGGGAAGGGAAGGGAAGGGAAGGGAAGGGAAGGGAAGGGAAGGGAAGGGAAGGGAAGGGAAGGGAAGGGAAGGGAAGGGAAGGGAAGGGAAGGGAAGGGAAGGGAAGGGAAGGGAAGGGAAGGGAAGGGATCACACCTAGCCCCTATTCTAAGAAGCATCAGAAGTATATTAAACAAAAATATCATTGTGGCAATATGTGAATTTGAAGGAACTCCAGAATATGCTGTGGCTTGTTACAGCCTCCTCCCGAGGGCACAGCTCAGGGTTGGGAGCAACACAGGTCCAGCTCTCCAAAAGAAGGAAAGAACTAAAACCAAGTCTCCCATACTGGGGGTGAAGGCTGAAGTCATTGGGCTTTAGGGTAAAACTCTTTTCTTCCAGAAGCTTTGTGAACTTCTGTTCATTGCTTTCATCATATGTAGTCACAAAGTAAATAGTATTTTTGAGGGTAAAGGGATCACAAGCTGAACACAAGCCAGCCTGGTGCTGTTGCAGGAATGAAAGCAGTTGGAGTTGTAGGCTTCCTCAGTATGTCTGCAGCCAACAAACAAAGCGGACATAGCAATTGCATTCTCTTCACCGATTACTAGGCTACATCTGGAATATTGTGTCCAGTCTTGGTCCTTTTAGCTAAAAAAACATGCTAAAAATTGGAGATAATCCAGCAGAAGGCCATTGAGCTGATCAGAGGACTGGAGACCTTGACGGATGAAGAAAGCTTGAAATAATCGGGTTGTTCAGAATGAAGAAGAGGCAATTGAGGGTTGAACACCATCCTCTAGCACTTAAATTGTTACAAAGATGACAGAGATTCTTTTCAGCAAGATGCCCAGTACCAGAAGGCAATAGGCTGCTTCAGGGGAAACCCATTTTTGTTTAAGAAGAAATTCTTCATCATGAGAGCAACTGAACTTTGAGCAGTTTACCCAGAGAAGTGGGGAACTCATTGGCCTTGACAGGCCCTTGATTATCTCATCGAGGGTCTTGCTTTCAACAAGAGCCTAGGGCAGATAATCTCCAGAGCTCCCTTCTACACCAGGTTTTTCTATATTATTCCATAACTATCAAGGTTTTGTTCTGACTAGAAACACAATGCAAACAAAAATTCTCAGTGCTGCTAGAAATATGTAATTTTCAGTTAGAACTCCAGACAGAAAAACAGACTTGGTGTGTAGTTTTAGTTAAATTTTATCACTGTCTTCTGTCTCCATTCACCTTCACTGAGGGCTTTCTAAGATACTGCTATAAACTTGGTCAGTAAATACACGAAATATTTTCTGATTTTTGATGTCTTGTATGTTGCACCTTGAACTGTTTATGGGCATTTATTCAATGCAGTCCTATTTATGTAGAAACCATATATATTATATGCTGTTTCATTGAACACAGTAGGAAGCAAACAGCAGGAGACAGATTCCATCCTCACAGTTTCAATCACCTCTTTCTCAGGGTCACATTGAGAGCAGAACTCAGACTGACGGGCTTCCTTGCTCCCTTTTCTAAGCTTGACTGCAGTGTGCTGCCCCTTCCACAAATCCACCCAAACACAATAAAATTGATCTCATTATTTTCAGAACACCAAAAAAGTTCCTCAGATACTCTAGCTGAGGCTCTACTATGCCTAGCACACAGCCTGCTCTGGAGAAAACAGTAAAGGACTGGAAACTATTGCTAACTAAAAAGAAATTAAAATATTATGTTTCAGTATGCTTGCACAGCAGGCCTGAAACAGCTGCAGAGTGATGCAGTAAAAATGCAAAACCACATACTTTTATCCCTCTAAAACACTTATCAAACCATTTAATGACACCATGCAAAGACCTCTAGTCTACATTAAGAATAAATAACAGAGTTCTACTGGTAATGAAAACCAGACTCATCTTCCATTTGCAATGTTTCGATAGTCAGCTCATAGGAAAGATTTTTTTTTTTTTTTGGACTAATTCTACTCATTTACCTCAGGTGAATATATTAGGCGGACATACAGGGATATGCTTTGATGAAAAACCTGGAAATTCTACAGGTGAAAAATAGGAAATTAAAAAAATGGCACAGCCATGCTTCCTTGTAAACTGCTTTACTTAAAATGACAGATGTATGCTTCATTAATGATAAAAATACCAGTTACACATGTTGAAAAAAAAAGTAAACAGTATTTACAACACTGAAGGCTGTATTTTCAACTCTAAAATAAATAATAGCAGATAAAAAAACATGAAGCAGGAGAGAAGCACTACCATTGTGTGCAACACTACCCAGGGCAAACCCAAATATTCTGGTTATCACAGCAAGGTGTCACTTTCCTGTCTCCTAATATGCTTGCCTTGAAAACATATTATTCAATGGAGGCCCTTGCAAAGTGTCTCTCATAAAAGGCTTATGATGAGAAATACGAGAAACAAAATCTTCTCCATGCTTCAAATACAGCAAGAATAGCATGCTTTTGTTAGCTCTTGCTGTAATTTCTCTCATTAGTAATACCACTGCTGACAACACTGATGTCCTTATTTAAGAAAGATGTTTGAAAACTTGAAAGAAGCTACAAGAAAAACTGGTGATACAGAAATCTTGCCTTACAATTAGAAACTAAAGTGCGTCAATGAGATTTGCTTAACAACTAAAGAGGGCTGAGATACCTTGATCCCAGCCTTCAAATGTTTTCATTGAATACTGTCCAGCACTAAAGGCTTTTTTAACCCTGCAAAGACTGAACAAGTCAAAGCTAAATTCAGACCACAAATAAAACACTTCACATGAACAGGGAGTGTTGGTATGGACTCTTTGTTCTTTGAACTCTTTAAATATGAACGAGACATTTTTCTAATGAAGTTCACCTTGGTCTTGAAGCAAGACATACAGTGTGATGCTCTGTGGTCACTGCTAAGGCTGGACTGGATTACATCACCAAAATGACTGAGCTCTTCTTCTCTTAAAGTCTATGCAGCAATTACACTGAGACATGCTTGTAATTTACTCTAAGAACATTTTGTAAATAATTATTAGTGTTACTACACCCTTACTGACCTACCAAAAGTTATTTTCATGTAAATAAGCTATTTTTGTAGAGAACATTTTGACTACTGTCCTAGGACTCACATATTTAGGAACTACAATTTAACTGGGATGTATGAAAATTCATATATAGCAACTCAATGGTTGATTTGATCAGTGTTAACTGCTGAGGTCCTACAGAGACTAAAAAGTATTCAACTAATTCTCCAGTATCCTATTTGCCTGAAGCCCCAGCTGCTTTTTATGGGAGCTAAGAATCTCTAATATTCTACAAGTGTTTAGCTATTACACATATTAGTTTATGAGGTTCAGCAAAGAACAAGCCTTGTTTATTAACCTTTCACTAAACCCTTCACAAACTCAAACACTGGCAAGAGAATAAAAACCAAAACGCACTTGAGTGTTATCAGGAAACATATATATTTATTACTTTCCAATTTTCCCAGCCCTTGGTAACCATTGAATTTTCATTATTTTCATTGATTTGATCACCTCCTTTTAGTTCAGAACATGAATAAGCTGAAAAGTAAAGAGCTAAAATAAAATTCCTTTTCATAAAGCATTTGTCTCAATACAGAATTCACCTGAATAATTATGTCCCTATAGTTCTAATAGTATAACTCCCGAAGTGGACACTAGAATTCTACAGGCATTCATGCAAGATTAAAAAGCATCCACAAGGCATAATTATATCACTCTAGTCTCTGGTAAATTTCCTCTAATAAAGACAACCTTTCAATGTTGAAAAAAAGATATGTTATTTGGGAGGAAAGACAGAAAGGAAAAGCCCTTTGATTTCCTAATATAGACATTTTATGAGGTTTTCTGCTCTTTAGCTACAACCTGCTATAAGCATGAACACCAAAAAAAATTATTACAGCTGTGAAAACAAATCTCTGGATGATGCATTTTGACTGACCACCAGTCAAAGCACACTGACCCAAAATTATATCACAATTACTCAAGGTCATTTGTCAAGTTTTGGGAATTTTTAAAGGTCTATGTCATCTTCCCTCTTAATATCGTGGGTACAATTGATTTGTGGCATAGATGTTCCTCAGCTTCTGCAAGATATACTTAAGTAGCAAACTGCTTTGTGCCATTGCATAAAAATGGATCTGAGCTCTTAGTACCATAATGAGAGAATAAATGACAAAATTTCAGTAGGTTTTGTACTCCCTGTTAAAAAGATGAAGGCAACAATTCTGCTCTTTCCTTAGTTCCTTCACCTTGTAGCTATGTGGTTAGAAAGCACTTCCAGCACTCGGTTAGATAAAACCTACCAAAAAGTAAACATATGAAAAATAGAGGAGTTGATGGTTAAGGCATCCAAGCAATCATAATTCTTTTATATATGGGCATAAAGGGTTAAAAAAAATAGAATCGACTGAAATAAACTAAATTTAACTCAACATTTCCCTCAGGTTCTCATTACAGAAGCAAATTAAGTTTGTCTGGATGGCATTCAACTGTGTGTTTTCTTTTTAAATATATTTCATTTTACTGAAATGCAGTATTTTCCCTACATTTTCTAGGTTTCAATTATTTTTTATAGCTAATGGACTTCTAAAATATTTTAACATTAATATTCTAATATGTTTAGTCTTTGTATTGTTTTTTGGCAAAGAATTTTTCTTTGATTTCTTTTCTTTACAATTATTAAGAATGCTATACATGAGCATTAAGAAATAATCATGTGAATAATATGACCTTTAGTAACCAAAATATATGGGGCAAAATTAGCATATTGCTTTTCAATGTCTTTGTATCATAATTGCATGAATGTTCAAAAGTCATGAAGCTTAATTGATTTACAATTCATCATCAGATCAGACATGTAAATTATTATGGGAGAACTCAAGATTTCTTGTTTCTGAGACCCAGCTAGAGCTAGGCATATTTAGAAGGAGCAGGGAGACCCACAGGAAAATAAGTGAAAGCTTCAGTAGTCACTCTACACTGTTCAGAAATATAACTTAGTAGGTTAAAAAACAAACAAAAAGCCAGGGGTGGGGAAGGCAGCTGGGACATGACTAAAACCAGCCAAGTGTTGAGAGAGCCTTCGTTTGCTGTATGGCAGAGCTGAGTTCAATTCTGCACTGCATCCAGGCCTGCCCCTTTTCCCCCCCAGAGGGACAGCCTCATCACTAGACAAGTCTCATCATTCCAGCCATGGATAATGGAGCATTTCCTAAAAGAAGCTGCATGCCCTCAGCAAATGGGAAAGAAATCCTACCCCTCAAGCAGGCTGGCTGCTCCTGACCAGCTAAACTCTGATATCCCTTGTGGCCAGCCCAGCACTGTTGACCCCAACTTGACTACTGGATATATCATCATAATTACTCACAATTATATGGTTAATGTATTTTTAAATTTTAATCTGTGCTTCTTCAGCTCTAGACTGACTAATTTTAGTTCTATGCTAAATCTGAAGAGTCTGCACTGGTAATTTCTGAGATAATTCCATATTAATCAAAGCAGAAAATTTCTTGCAGAATCTGTTGAAAATAATCTTACTGAAGCAGTGGGTGGTGGTGTAAAACTAGTGAGCATCCATCTTACACTCAAAGAGAAAATAAGGTCAAGTACAAGAGAATGTATTTTCACATATAAATCAGAGAGGCTGCCTTTGGTTTTTGTACAACACAGATGCTATGGTTCAGAAGGGGAACCTGTTCTTCTGTTACTTTGAGTTTAATAAGTAAGCTTTAATAAATTTTCTTGTAGCAGTTGAAAGCACTTTTTTAATAGCCTGCTGAGGTACAAACATATACTCCTTCTGTTTAAGTTGCTACATGATCTGTACACTTCCTGCAGCGGGGCAGACCTAGTAGCTACAGACACTTGCTTCCTCCTGCTGCACCTGAGATCAGGGACCTGCAGGACTCATGACTTCTACTTCAAAGCCTCCTTGCCCAAAAATTTACAGAGTTTCCTTGGGTCTCCTACCTCATCTCCTACACGCAGTCACACTAGAGTATTCCACCCTTCAGAACAGATTATTCTATCACTTGGAAGCACCACACAGTTATTCCTAGCACAATCCAGGTCCATGAGCTTCTGGAGACCTAGCCAATGATCATAGAAATAATACCTTAAAATTTTAATTTGCCTCCTACACCACAATATTCAGGTACATAAATATAGGCTGAACATTTGTGCAATTAGTAGAGATGTCTCCTGCATTATGTAAAGCAAAACCCAAACTTACTCACAGAGCTGCGAACAACACCTTCATGTTTGCTAAACAGTGGCAGCTGCATCTGCATGGTGCAGAGAAAAGGAGATGAGAAAATACTGTGTTCTGGCTATAGTAGCACACACTGCTGAACATACCCTTCTTCTGCTCATGGCACATAGAAAAAAACAGCAGTAAAATCTTAGCACTCGCAGAATTTTGGTTTATGTTCTAGTAATGTGACTAAATTAACCAGCCATATTATAAGGGCTGTCAAAAATGTTATCTGATATGCAAGTGCACCAGCAACAACACAAGCTTTAAAAGCTTAAAAGCCATTTTGAGAATTAAACAAAGATTGACAGTATCTCTATTTTGTAGTGCCAACTTTTTGAACACTTTGCATTTGTCAAGAAACGTATGATGGTGTTGGCAGCAGCTCCCACTTAGCACTGGTCCCCTTTGTGAAAGCCTTTGCCTAAACAAAGAGCTAGATATGGTTTCATCGTCAACAAATTTGAAGTGTCTCTGCTCTACTGGTGAATTATTGCTATCCTGTAGAAAGATAGAGAAAGACTGCAGAATTCTGAAGCACACAAAAAAAGCTCTTTGCAGGGTTTTTTGGCTGTTCACATGAGCTATTCTATCACTTTTCAGCAACTCCAGCTTACATTATATCTACAGACTTACAGTAAGCTGAGATAGTCACAGTATTTAAACCTTCAAACAATCTATGCTGCAAATCTGCCAGCCTCCTGTTTGTCAGAACGTTTCATCTCAGCTAAAAATTATCAGTTCAGAGGGATAAGAGCACAGAGGTATACAGATGACTGTAATGCATTCCACCAGACAGCCTTTATGAATTTTTTAGCTGAACTTTCCTCTCTCCTTGTTTTTCTTGCCAACCACATGCAGAACACTTTAGAGACAACAGCAATTCCTTGGAGGTTTACATGTATTATTCAATTCCCACCAATAAAAAATAAAAAATAAAATCATTTTTCTAAACCAAGTTTCATCTCATATTTTTCTTAATCTTAAACTATAACTAGCATCCAGTACTTGCACTGCAGAGCTGAGAAGCTAGCAGAAATTGTCACATTCAATTAGCACAGCAAAAGTAGCAAACTAGAAATAGGATTTCATTCACTTTAATTCACTAGTTGGTTGCCACAAATACTCATCTGTAAAACATGGAATTCTGAATACTCTAGACATTATTTTCCTTTCATGAAGATGTTTGTTTACTTTGGCAGTGATTCTCTTGGGAGAAAGTCTAATGACTACCACTACCAAAAAAAAAACCAAAACAAAAAAGAAACAGAAACTGCCACTAGCAAGCAAGAGAATATTAGACTAGTGTGCTGGTTAAACTCCAGAGCACAAAGGAGAAAAGACACAATAGATCACTGCTTTGCATTCTTGTGACCAGAACCTATATCCTTCAAGTTTCACAGGCTTTCATGATGGAAACCAGACTTTGAATAAAACAAGAAAGCTGCCCATCTCCCATACATTTTAAGATTTTTAACCTTAAAAACAAACCAACAAAAACATAACATGAGGATGGGAATAAGAGAACAAAGCAAACTATTTCAACCTCTGGTATTAATTTTCCCCACTGCTTTTAATTTCATTTCAATACACAGAAAGGGTTGAAAACCCTAAGAAAGGGTTTTTTACCCAGTTTTGGTATATCTTGGTAATTAATTTTTTTTTGAATGAGAAAAACCACCAGGAGAAAAGGCAAGTTACTATAACTCAACAGTCTGTTCACTGCTGAAAAAGACTTCCCTACCTCCTTCCTAAGGGTACATGACTATTATTTTTAGAGTTTAAAAAAATCAAGAACAGAACAGTGAATGAAGCACGTTGTTATAAATCTTCAGACCTCTTTTTCCTGTGAAATGTCAAACCTCATCATCTGCTTTTCTATATGAATAACCTGCAGTCCCAGACTGTTTACCATGTTTCCATGGGAGGAAAATGTCATTAACAAAAAGTCAGCTTTAGGGTTAAGAGGAAGCAGCTCTAGCAAAAGCATGTGAATCGTGTATTTTTTTACCAGTTAGAACAATGTGCTGTTCCTGGAATGCATATGCAAGACCATGTCACAGTTTAGGCTGAGCAACAAAGCAGGCACAAGTCAGAGACTACATGTCAGCAAACTGTGTACTTCCCTAAATATCCTGATCCCAGGCAAGATCTTTAGCAGAACACTTGCAAGAACTGCAGGACAGACACAGCTACCTAGAGAGAGAGGGCTAACAGAGACCCTAGTGAAAGAAGTAGATATGCAAAACAAGAAGGAATGGTGAAACAGCCAGAGAAAACAGATTTTCTTTTTTTTTTTTTTTTTTGTCGGCTGTAGCACTTTGGAAAAGAGGTCAAATGAAGTAGTAAATTATTGCAAATGGTGAAAGGCCTATAAATATTGTGGGCTGTGGAAAGAACAACTTGTTGCATTACAAGCAGGCAATGAGTCTCTACTATGCTGAGCCAATCCACAAAAGATTTTTTGAAGTCAATAATATCTGTAACATTTACTTTTAACTGTAACATGAAAAAAAATAATATAAAAAGCTTTGTTTAGTATTGGAATGAAAGAAAGATACTTCTAATGTGCACATCTAATTGCAGCCCATATTAAAATCACAGGCATGGTTTTTTCCAACTAGCTAATAGGAGGGAAAGAACAGATTCTACCACTGGTCAGAACTATTTTGCTTTGTATACATTAGGCTCCTGATATTCTAGTGTGTGTGTGTGTGTGTGTGTCCTTCTACAAAACGAGGAAGCGCTGAAATAGCTCTGTGTACATATCAAGTCTACATACCATATTTAAGTTTCGTGACTTATGGTGTGTTCACAAAAACTGCAACATTTGTTAAGTGATATGTGAGCATTACAAAGTATAGATCCTACCCCACAAAAGACCTTTTAAAAGGAGCTAAACCCACAGACCACTCTGAAGTGCACAGCTTCTCAGTACAGTCCCATTCAGTTCTTATAGCCGCTAAAGGTTTTATTGTTCAAGCAAAAAAAAGAACAGTGAGCCAAAATCCATTCTCATATAATAATATCCTGTTCCTAACACTGGCCAATAGAAGATGCTATTCTCCTGGGTTTATAAAAGGAAAGAACTTAAGCTGTGCATGGCAATTTCTAGAAGAGATGATAACCACTCAGGGGCAAAACCACTACCTTGATGATTCCTTTCCTGTCACCCAAATGGCAGCCAGAGGAGCTGCCCTGTAACCCTCACAGTTTATTTTGTCTTTATATAGTTAGGTTAATGGGATTTGTCCTTATACTTTCCATTCTATAGCACTGCTGGTTAAACTCACCACAAAAAATTTAACACCCACTGCATGATGCAGAACACCAGACAATATGATCGTTGTCTTTCAGGCACCAGCGAATCCAGGAGAGCTGTCAGCCCCAGCTCTCCCACAGGCCTCCCAGGTGAAGTCAATGTCTGGCACATTCGTTGGAATGAATATACAGAAGCAGGTTGATTAATAGCTACAAAAACAATAACTTGGTTCTACCACACTGACAGCTTGCTTTGCAACATCTGTTTTTTTCAATTTACATATTATGTATAGTGATATTGCATATGGCTTGGCATTTGTAATGTTTGTTGTCTAGCCTAAGGAACTCATCCCAGCTCCATGACTCTCTAGCTTCTTCAAGTCACTCAGGTGAAGCGTGGCTCTGCCAGCATGCTCCCCTCTTCAGGCAGTCTCGCTTCGGTAACCATCAGGGAACATGGAGTCCAAGACTCTCAGTACACTCTAAAGTCTGGAAAGGCAAATTTAGAGTGTTCCTGTGTTGCAAATAGGTGATGTACCTGAAAGAAGCATAACACACACTTAGCTTGTTCTTACACATTTATTTAGGCATTTATTTTGAGACAATATTACCTTCCAACTAGTCTAATCCAAAAAAAAAAGCTCTCAAGCCTTCCCTAGAACAGCTAATATAAAAGAAAGCAGGAAGGAATCAAGGGATTACAAGGGAGAGAAAAACATTAATGCAAGAGGGTGTAAAGGCCAAATTGTCAAAAATCAAGAAACTGGAGACTGGAGAGAGAAAAACTACCAAGGACAGGCCTCAGCACTTCTTTATGGCACCAAGGTACCAGGTAAGAGACTTGACTTGGTGGAGGAGAAGCCAGAACTTGTGGTCTCAGCACACAAGGGTTTTGTATCTGAGGCAGAAGAGCCTGCAGGATGCTTGGCTTGATTTGGTACAACTGTTCTTGCTTATATTAGAGTTACGTAGTGTGTGCCACAGGACCAGGGATCACCAAAGACCTACTGGATTCTGCAGCAAGGCAGCCAAAACCTTTCCTCATATTCAACAGGGAGATTAGGTTTCTCTCTCTAAAAGTACCTTTGTCAGGGGATGAGTCACCCTCGATAGCACCTGTCTTGTGTTTGTGGAACATTAGCCAGCTAATGCAGAGTGGACACTTACTTTTTACATGATTAAAAACAGATGATCTTCACTCCATGAAAGCTGACCTAACAAACACACGCAATTGGGGTGAGTGGCTACCATGCCAGAGATAAGCTGTCATGAAGGATGTGAGCACTCTTGTCTTTCAGTCAATTTAAAAAATACTTGCGTATGCCAAAACAGCTGTTTTGAAGGAAGAATTGCTAGAATTCAGGCTTGATTTAAAAGTGAGGGACAGGGAAAGTGACTGCTTACCAAAAGAAAACCTCAATTGAATGAGTTCCTACACATTTTGCAGAACTAGGCAGCAGGTTATAGGAGAGTGCAGTGCAGCAGTGCTTCCACCCTTGTTAGACATTGCCTGAGAACGCCCCAGGTAGAGGACAACTTCTGTTCAGGCTTGCACACAACTCAATGTCAGGTGTATGACGGGAACACAAAGGGAAGCCAGATGCTACCAGTTCTGCAGCTCACCAAACTGATATTTATGAGAACTGTGCTGTGAAGCAATTCAGTCTTCAGAGAGGAACCAGGACTCGGCCTGCAACATTTACTCAGCATGCGACCATCCGTAAGGCCTTGGTCTGCACTCTGGATTTTTTAGCCCCCGTAAGACTGCCAAGTTCTTGAAACAAATGCCAATATAACAAGTAATTCTGGAGTGCCATGCCATAATACAGCAAAGACAAACACATATCAATTATTCTTTGATGGCACAAATGCATTTACATAATTACTCTGCAAGATTCACCAATATATATCAACACAGGTTCACAACCACATCAGAGATGACTGGAAATGCTAAAATAATTTTTCTCCTCTGTGTTTTATATGCATACAGAAAATATATACAGATTTAAGAAAAAAGAATTGCTACACTGGGTCAGACCAAAGGTCCATGAGGCAGGAGGAATGAAGCTATCCAGTCGTTGATAGTGGGCATGGACAGACACCTAGAGAAAAGTTCAACACGTCAAGCACATAATGACACTTTCCCCAGGTACTCACACATTCAACAGCCCTGTATGAATTCTCTCACTGCTGAGCTATAGCCTTCACAGAGCACAGAGGCCGTTGCTTTTAGCCTTTTCAGGGACATATACATTGACATTAATGTTACATCTGTACGTGCCAAACTGTTAATTTGTTTGCATTGAACAGATGCTAAGAATGTGTGCTTCCACTGTAGGGAAGGAGTAAAACCCCACCTTTGATACTGGAATACCACAGAAGCCACCACCCCGTGCCACCACACCTCAGCACGGGTTCCTGTGGGTCTCCGAGATGCCAACAAACCAGGTTTGCTGGCAGGCCCCGGGCGTGCGGTGAGGAAGGGGCGACGAGCCCATGTTTCTGCGGGACCTCTGGACGCTACAGTGCCCCACGGGACAGGGACAGGGACACAGGGACAATCCCGCAGCCTGCCCCACGGGACAGGGACACAGGGGCAGTCCCACAGCCCGCTCCCACAGGGACAGGGACACAGGGGCAGTCCCGCAGCCCGCTCCCACAGGGACAGGGACAGGGACACAGGGGCAGTCCCGCAGCCCGCTCCCACAGGGACAGGGACAGGGACACAGGGGCAGTCCCGCAGCCCACTCCCACAGGGACAGGGACAGGGACACAGGGACAATCCTGCAGGCCGACCCACGGGACAGGGACACAGGGGCAGTCCTGCAGCCCACTCCCACAGGGACAGGGACACAGCGGCAGTCCCGCAGCCCACTCCCACAGGGACAGGGACAGGGACAGGGACACAGGGACAATCCTGCAGCCCACCCCACGGGACAGGGACACAGGGACAATCCTGCAGGCCGACCCACGGGACAGGGACACAGGGGCAGTCCTGCAGCCCGCTCCCACAGGGACAGGGACAGAGGGGCACTCCCACAGCCCGCTCCCACAGGGACAGGGACACAGGGCAGTCCGGCAGCCCGCTCCCACAGGGACAGGGACAGGGACACAGGGGCAGTCCGGCAGCCCGCTCCCACAGGGACAGGGACACAGGGGCAGTCCCGCAGCCCGCTCCCACAGGGACAGGGACAGGGACACAGGGGCAGTCCCGCAGCTCGCTCCCACAGGGACAGGGATACAGGGCAGTCCCGCAGCCCGCTCCCACAGGGACAGGGACACAGAGGCAGTCCCGCAGCCCGCTCCCACAGGGACAGGGACAGGGACAGGGACACAGGGCAGTCCCGCAGCCCGCTCACACAGGGACAGGGACAGGGACACAGAGGCAGTCCCGCAGCCCGCTCCCACAGGGACAGGGATACAGGGCAGTCCCGCAGCCCGCTCCCACAGGGACAGGGACAGGGACAGGGACACAGGGCAGTCCCGCAGCCCGCTCACACAGGGACAGGGACAGGGACACAGGGGCAGTCCGGCAGCCCGCTCCCACAGGGACAGGGACACAGGGCAGTCCCGCAGCCCGCTCCCACAGGGACAGGGATACAGGGCAGTCCCGCAGCCCGCTCCCACAGGGACAGGGACACAGAGGCAGTCCCGCAGCCCGCTCCCACAGGGACAGAGATACAGGGCAGTCCCGCAGCCCGCTCCCACAGGGACAGGGACAAGGACACAGGGACAGTCCCCCAGCCCGCTCCCACAGGGACACGGGCACACGCCGCACCCGGACCCGCTCGGGGGGGCGGGGCCAGCCGGGGCTGGGCGGGGCCTTGACACCCGGCCCGTCTCGTGCCGCCGCGCTCGCGCTCCACCCCCCGCCCCGCCCCGCCCCGCCCCGCCCGTGGCGCGCGGTCGTGCGTCAATGCAAATGAGCGGCGCGCGAGGCGGGGGGCGTGGCGATCGCCCTCTCCCCCGCCCCGAGTGAGCGCCTGACGGGATCACGGGCGGCAGGAGAAACCGACGTCACGGCTGCCCCTGCCCCGTCTGTTGGGATAAAAGCCGATCGCAGCCGCTGCCGCAGAACGAAATAAAATCTCTTTATTGCAGGTGTTTCTCCCTTGATGATAGAAATGTCGTCAAAGCCCAACGAGACCCTTCCAAGCCCACAGGGCTGGCACCTCCCTCTGGCTGAAGTGGTAGCACCCACCCGGCCCGTCGGTGCCGGGGGGCGGGCTCCCGGCCTGATGAATTATTCATGAGGGGCCGGCCTAGAGGCTCATTACCAGGGTCCGCCGGGCTGGGGCGGTGCCTGTGACGTCACCGTGACGGATGTTCCGGCGCTCTTAAGGGCGCCGCGGCGGCTCCGAGCCGGCAGCGGGGCGGGGGCGGCCGGGGGGCGGCAGGAGCTTTGCTGAGGAGACCGGGTCGCCTGCCCTGTGGAGGTACCGGCGGCCTCCCCTCCTTCCCTCCCCGCCAGTGCCAGGCCCGGGAATGCCCCGCTGTTCCCCTGCGTTGCGGTGTGGCGGCTGGGGGGGGTCGGACGGAAGAGTTTCTGTCCGGGGACAGTGACCTGTCCGGGCGAGTTCCTGATCTAGTGGATCCCTGTGGGTGCGACTGCAGGAGGGAAGGGCCGCCTTACCGGGGGTCCCAGTAAATGAAAAGGGATAAAAATGGGCTTGTATCAAAAAGCTAAGATATTTTTAAAGCAGTACAGTGGCGTTGATGGGAAAGAAGAGAGCTTTATTCTATAAACAAGCTATTTTGGGACTTGCATAGTGGTTGGCGATAGGCGGGTGTTTAAACTCTCCCCCCGCCCCCCAACACTTCGCCACAAAGATTATTAATTATCTTTGTCTCTTTAGTGTGCTGAGGTGGGGGTTCACCTCTGCGCCGAGCCGCTGTCAGGGGAGCTCCCGCAGACGGCCGCCTCAGCCCCTGCCCACCGCCGGGTCCTTCCCTGCCCGGAGCGGCCGCAGCCGCCTCGCCTCATTCCTCTGCCCCTTGCCGCCCGCTGTAGCCGGTTCGTCCGGCAGCCGGGTCGCCGCTGCCCTCCCTGTTCCTCCTCAGCGGTCGCTGCTGCGCATCATCAAAACATGCAGGATGAGCTGCTCCTGGGGGTGACACAGCAGCAGCAGCCAGGCAGCGAGAGGCTGGGCAGCAGCCCCGCGTCGGGACACCCCCCTCTCGGCCACCCCTCCTCTGACTTTAAACCCTGTCTCAGCCCCCACCAGGATTTAAACAAGCAGCAAGCGCAGCAACCACAGCCGCCGCCTCCTCAGCTGAGCCAGAAGAGGAAAGAGTTTAAGCAGCAGCTCAGCAGCCCAGCCCAGCTCGGCAGCAGCCACCCCCTGAATAACCACCACCCCCCAGACTATCATCACCACCCCCCTCAGCAGCAGCAGCAGCAGTTCAGCCACCCCACTGACAAGTACCAGCAGCAAGAGCACAGGCAACAGCAGCAGCTCCAGCTCCTCAGCGCTCAGCCCCCAGAGCCGCCGCGGACGGGGGATCACTCGCACCACCGGCCCGTCGGCCCCGCCGAGCACCCGGGCGGCGCGGACAGGGGGAATTTGGAGCGGCTCGCCCCTTCCTGCCCGGGGGGATCGGCGTCCGCGGACCCCAATGTGGGGGTGGCCGCCGCCTCCTGCGTGAATCCGCCTTCGTCTCCTCATCTGCAGGCGAGAGCCAAGCTGCCCCCCATGGAGTCCCCCCCGAACAGCCACTTACTGGGCAGCCCCGGGAACCTCCTGCCCGGCGGGCTCGGCTCTGGCTTCAGCAGCCTGCAGAGCCCGGAGATCCCCAGCCCCCATCACCAGAGCGGGGGCGGCTCCTCCTCGGCGGCTTCCCCTCCTCCTCCGCCGCTGCCCGGCTTCGGCACCCCCTGGTCGGTGCAGACCTCGTCGCCGCCTCCGCAGCAGACGCAGCAGCCTCCGGTCTCCAGCGGCGGCGGCGGGCAAATCAGCGCGATGCCACCCCCGAGCCCGGAGTCCGAGACCAGCTTCTACCCGGGGATCCCGTCATCGATCAACCCCGCTTTCTTCCAGAGCTTCTCGCCGGTGTCACCTCACAACCCCTGCGCCGGGCCCTTCAGCAGCCCCTTCTCGGCCGCCGCCCCCCCGCCGCCGCCGCAGATGAATTTACCTCAGCAGCAGCAGCAGCAACAGCAGAACCGGAGATCCCCTGTGAGCCCCCAGCTCCAGCACCAACACCAGGCGGCGGCTGCCGCCGCCGCCTTCCTGCAGCAGAGAAACTCCTACAACCACCACCAGGTACCGGGCGGCGGCCGCCGCGGGGAGCCCCGGGGCGGGGAAGGGGGACGCGGGGAAGGGACGGAGGCTCCGCTGCCCTCGGTTGGCCGGCCGCGGCAACCGGGCAGTTTCGTTCTCGCCGGCGCCGGGCGAGGCTGCGCGGCGGTGACAGCCCGGCGGGACCGCGGCGGCAGGGCGGGGCCGCCCCGCGGGAGGGAGGGCACCTGCGCCCCCCGCCCGGTGCGGCGTCGGGCGGCCGGAGGGGGTCGGCCCGGAGAGGTCTGCGGACAGCAGCCGCCCCTGTCCCGGCCGCTCTCCCCGCCTGTTCTTGGAGGCAGGTGCCGGGGTGGCTCTTCTTGCCCTCCTTGGTGCGCCGTCGCCTCCCGAGAGACGCCGGGGTTTTATTTGGGACGAGCAAAGAGGGTTTGCGCTTAAAAAATAAAAGGGCTCAACCGCTGCTGTTGGTGTCTGGGAGTTTTGCCGTGAAAACGCCCCCCCTTGTCCCCCCGAATCGCCCGCGGCGAGCGCAGTGCCCCCGGAACAATGAGCCTGACAGCTCCGGCCGGCGCCGCCCCCCGGCAGCCCCTTCCCCAGCCGCGGGCCGGCCCTCGACCGGCTCGGTCGGACGGGCACGGGTCGCCGAGAGGAGGGTCAGATGCGAAAGTTGACACCGTGCTGCCTTTCAGGCCTTTTGACTGTCGTTGCTTGAATGTGTATCTGAGGACAGCGCAATGTTTCAAGTTCTGTAACCGCTTTTAATCGAGAGGTTTAACAATCCCGTGTTAAAATGGAAGTTTACGTTTCTTCCTGGAACAGAATATTATAAGAAAGCAGTGAGAAGGAAATACGTGTTAATATTACCAGCTGTTACATTATACGCCCATTTTGCTCCATTAATTTGTTCATTTATGAAAGGCTGAAGTTACATAGGCCTCATCTTAATTTCTTTTTTCATTCTGTTATTAAATCCCTTCAGATTTAATCAGTGGTGCTTCATTTGTATCAGAACTAGAATATCACATAGTGTGCCTGCCGAAGAACTGATTATGATGCATTATGATTAGGAGCTAGTTGTCCTTAACATTTATAATAACCTTCTTCAAACAAATTCCAGGCAATTCTCCAACAGTGAGGTGTACAGGAATTTTCTCTCACAAGTTGTGGGTATACTTAAACAGTGTCATGACAGCATAGCTAGCAATATTAGAGGCTTGTTAACATTTGGCATTATCTCTTAAGGTTTGTTTCACAATAGAGTGCCTGCCTCTCCCAAAATTCCAAGACAAGTATTCAAGTTTTACAATGTAATTATCTATAATTATATAGAATAGGATGTTTTCCTGGTCACTTGACCAAGAGTGGCTTTAGTGGTTTTTTGGTTTGTTTTCTGGTGGTGAGGGTGGTGGGGCTGTTGTTACAATTTTATCTTTCTGTCTTCAGAAAGTTCTCTTTTACCTGTTACATAGCATATTGACATGCTTTAAATTTTTATGTTATTAGAACGCAGGTTGAGGATTGCTTGCAGCTAAGTTTAGAGGTAAAAGTACTGTGTTTTCACTTCACAGAATTGAATTTAGAATCATCACACACACCCCCACTCCATTTCTATGTTTGAGGAGAAGCGTTTCCAAGAACAGTCAGATTTGAGACTACTAAAGATAAATACAGTTCTTCACTGTCAGTCATGCTCAGTGGGTCCACCTCTTGGTAATATGACAACCACTATAGGTCACTTTTTAGCAGAAGTTTTTCTTATGAATAAAAACTTAATCCTTTAAAAATTGTCTTTCTAAAAACCGCTTCCATTTTCATATTAGAGAATATAATGCACTTACAAGTGTATTTAGGTAGGTGTAAAGTACATCATATCTAGATAGGAGAAGAAATTATCAAAAAAAAAATATTCTAGAGTTCACCCTGCCAAATCCCACAGATTCATTACTCCGGAAATTTCTCCATTCATTACTCCAGAAACATTTGAGCAGTGGCTTCAGAATAATGCATTTTAATGGAAATGTTAAGATAGCTCCTTCAAACAAATTCTCTGTACAGTAGTCAGTGCTCTTTTTGCTCTTATATGGTAATACTTAGACAATGATATTCAAAATACTGGAGTGGGGGGAATTAAATCTGCCATTTGAATTTTAATTTTTAAATTTCTACTCACTGTAGTGAAATACTACTACTCACTGAGTAGAAATAAAAATACTATTTTAATAATAATTTTTTATTTATATATTTGAAATTCTTTTGTTACTGTTGTAGAGATCTCATCATATAACAGCAAGTAATGTATGATAAAAACTGGTTTCAGGGTTCTTTGGAAATTGGTTTTATACCCTGGAATTTTTCTTCTGTGTAGCTTTAAAAATGCTACCAGTCACTAAAATTATCATAATGATAAAAATTATAATCAAAATTGCCTGCACAAGTACTGCAGCATTTTTGGGGGAAACATATGGGGGAGTAGGAGTGACTTTTTTTTTTAATGAAGCTGCGTTTTCTTCCTTGTTTCAGTACCTAATTTACATGTTATCAGAAGAGAGTGCTGTATAGAAATCTCTGCACATTGCTTACTTGGTGGTTGGTTGTTTTGGGGTTTGGGTTTTTTAAGTAGAAAATAATTTCAACTGTTTTCCATATAATAGAAATTAATCTTTCTTTTTTAGCCTCTTCTGAAGCAGTCACCCTGGAGCAATCAGAGCAGCGGCTGGAGCACAGGAAATATATCCTGGGGAGGAATGCATGGCAGAGACCATCGTAGAACTGGAACCATGGGAATCCCAGGAACTATGAACCAGATCTCTCCTTTGAAGAAGCCCTTTTCTGGTAATGTCATTGCTCCTCCTAAGTTTACTCGCTCTACTCCATCACTGACACCAAAATCGTGGATTGAAGATAATGTTTTCCGAACTGACACCAACAGTAATACTCTCCTTCCTTTGCAGGTAAGGATGGTATACCTGGTGTGTTCATAGTCTTGCGTAGCATTTTTACTTCATTCATTTTAAATGAGAACTAAACAGTGGTTGCAGTCCTGATACTTAGTTTGACAATTGTGTTTATGTATTATTTTTAGTCATAAATTGCAATTAATCCCCACGTGTTGAGTGTGTTCAGCAATATATGATTCTTACATTTTTATAAGAATATTGATTGTCAAAAAGCATACAAACTGTAGGCACTGATGAAGCAATAAAACATGGTATGTTTAATCCAGCAAGTATTTTCTGCCTATGGTAAGGCTCATATTCTTATAAATTCCTTTAAACCTCAAGGTATTTTTTGCTTGCTTTGTCCTTCTACTTAGGTTTTTTTACTTTTGTAGATAGTTCTAAAGTCTTTGTCATGTTCGTCTTTTACTGGTATTCTAGGCTGATGTTAGTGTGTCAGCAAGATTTTTTCCTCCACATTGTAGCACCTTTTGTCTGGAGGCCCTGTGATTTAGAAGTGTTAAATGTAAGGATGTGTCATAGAACTAAAGATCTGGATTCACCTTCTGAATTTTGCCAGTGAAATCTTACTTGACTTTAAGTCAGTCACTTAACTTATTCAGTAATCTCTTGGTAAAATGTTATTTTTCCCATTCTTACCTATATTAATTGAGTTATTCTGTGTTAGTGGAGGCCTTTCATTTGTCATAATTATGACAGATTTGAGCTGTACTTGTGTAAATGGCAATCTAATGCTTATGTAGCTGAAGTAGTGACCAAAGGTGCTGCTTGGGATCAGACTTCCCTTTAGAGTTCTGGGTTTTCATACCATTTTTCTCGTGAATTTGGTACAGGAGGCCATTTCCTGACTATATCCAGGTGCACTTTGATACTTGCAGTGTTTTTGATGCTTACTTGATTTTTGGACTTGCCAAAGTTATGCTGAAACATACACATTTGGACCTGATACTGTCAAGACAGATTCCATTAAGCAGCCTTGCTAGCTGGAATATCGTAGTTGAATTGTCTTTTGTGTGGGTAGAAAGATGGGGGAAAAAAATGGGGTATTCTTCAGGGATTGTATTATACTGAGGAAAACAGATTGCAAATAGATAATGCTTTGCAGAGTAGGGCAGCAAAAATAGTAGAAAGTAAATACTGAAATCTGTCCCAAAGGTGTTAGCCTAAGGGACAGATTTAAAAATATTAATGCCATCATACGTTGAAACTGCTGTAGCATATACACTGGAATTCATTCATGGCTAAGCACACAGGCTGTGACTGTATTTGCTCATACATACAAGTCCATGTGACCAATACCTTGACTTTCCAGAAGCTTCTACAGCAGTTTTCAAGTGTCGGTGGACTCATTTTATGTCTGAACAAGTGTCCTCTGCATTTAGGCTTTCGTCTAAGTAATTTGTATATAATAAGCTAGGAAAGAAATCCTTTTAACTTTATAATACCTTAATGTTTCTGTGTAAGGGTTGGGGGATTTTTTTTAAGGCATAATATCAAAGTAGGAAGTTGGGCAATCTTAATTGTTGGTTACACCTATGAACACCAGACCCGCCAATTAAATAGACCTGTTTGGCTATATTTATGCTGTTGGTCTGTCTATGCTTAAATCTCCCTGACGTGTATAAAGTCGTAGTTGCAGAACACAGCAAAAATAAGCCTCTTTGAAGGGTTGCAATGTTATCTACTGATATTATGGAAACACTATACATTTCCATAAATTATTTTGCTACACTGTCATGTTCTTATTTTTCAGTTAGTACATATTGTTATATGATTAATTCCTTGTGATGATTATTACATTTTGCAAGTCATAATGAAAAAATTAAGTAGAACTTAGAGCTTGTGCTTCTTTTCATCAGAACTTGTTGGCAATTTCAATGCTGTCAAACACCCATCTTGCTGATTTGTACTGTGCTTGTCTCCTTCCATAAAAGGCTGTGGTATTTAGATTGAGGATTCTTAAAGATACAGTAGCAATACTAAAAAACTAGTACAAATTAAAATTTGTGCTGTTTGGAAAGTCTAGCACAAAAGCATTTATGTGCATGTAGAAGTTATCTATCTCTTCCAAGC